CACACACACATATATATATATCAAAACGAAGCCTAATGACCAATACATATATGCCCCTCCCCACACACACACACACAATATGTATAATACATATATAGATCTACATAATATACAAATGTATTACATGTACGTATTATCTATAAGAAAAAAAAGACTCCGTTTTGAGTGCAATAATAATCGATAAATATTTACTTCAAATTTAATCATTTCTTCTCTACATGGCAAACAAGATGTAATTCAAATAGATAGTGAGTGTACACATTCTTCGAAAGCAATATGTAGCTATCATGCTTAAGAGGTTGTTAAACTTACGTAGATAAGATGACTACAGTCGTGAAAAGTAACGACATGTTCAAACAAAATTAGTCTAAAAAAACGAGACAGTTTCCCTTTTGACTTCTTAAGACACATATTATAAGCCTTTCACTGCCACTAATCAAATGCTTAATTAAGTAGCCGATAAATAAAGTGTATGCATAGCGTTGCTTCTCTGTAGTGTTCCACGCCTGTTCTAAAGAATGTTGTGCCACAAACTGTCATTTGAGGTGGGATTGGTCAGGTTCAGAGGCGTGGGAGGATAAGGAAAAGGTCGAAAACGACACGACGAAGACGGGCGAACAATTATACCGCTGCAGTATGTAAACAAGGCTTGGCTTCTTTGGTTATATTATCAGTTGGCTCTTATAAGTTATGCATGGTTTATCTCCGCTGACACCACTGCGCTGGCTCTGGAGTCAAGAGGCCTGCAAACTTTCCCCTCTTGTTTTCTGAATGTATAATCCGAGGGAATGTTGCCTTACAGCTTCTTTCCCTATTCGTTGGGGTTTTTGGCCGTCAGCAAACAAACCAAACAAAACCAAAAAAAAAAAAAAAACACACAAAAAAACAAAGCCCAAAAGAAGAGAATAAAGGGATGGAAAGTGCGCTGGTTTGAATGAACACAACACATTATCATTATGGTCCCTTTCGTCAGCCTTTCTTCCTAACATAGAGAGCGTTGTCTATATGTCGTGTCACGCTTTATAGTTTTAGGCAAAACACCTGAGGTTTTTTTCTTAGAACGAGATACTTGATAAAAGATTTTTCCCCATGCGGGAATCCAACTCGGGTCTAACAGCCGGACCACAGACGCCGGTCACGTAAGTTCCGACTCCTGTATGGCGAAGTAAAAAAAATAAAATTCAATAGTGTTTTACGGTGCTCGCAACTGCATAAGGTCACCTGAGCGCGCGGGACACATTAAACTTTTTTCAGTTAATGGGAAATTTTGAATTTTGCCCAGGTGGCGGCAGAAGCTTACTCTTATCGATTTTTAGATCCCCAAGGGATATTTAACGAGCACAACTTGCTCACGGGACATCCGAGATTTTTCCCCCTTGTCGGAGAAGGCTCGGTGTAGATCTTTCCTACCAGAAGATCAGGGGTGTGACTGAATGACAGCAGTAAGAAGGAGCCAATGAGTAGCATTAGAAAGGCTGCAGAAAGAGTCAGGAGCCCAGAGGAAGGGGCAAAGAAGGTGAGGGGAGTGGGGGCAGAAAGAGGAGACGAAAGCAGACGACAGAACATTGCTACAGAGCAGGAAAGGAGGTGAAAGGAGACAATTTTAGCGAAGAAAATTTTTCGGTCGCTTCCCGAATTCGAACCCGGGACCTTTGAATGAGAGGCAAACGCCTTAACCTCTAGGCCACGAGAGCCCCCTTGCGAAGTTATTTGTGTGAGTACAAAATGTATCTCTGTCTGAAGCAGAAGATATTAGTTCTGTTTTGAGTTGGGGAATTTTTTTATCGTGTATTTTAAAAACAGTCTGGGTTATCACTGGCAGGCAAGGTGGAAGCAGCCCGTCTCTTATATGATCTAAACTGTGTCCATCGGGGACGTAAACACATTTATTTACAAATCAACTGCAATGTAAGCTACTCCTCAACATATTATTCTTTCTTTTACAGACCAAGGGTCCATACTGTTGTTTGCTTCATGTTGGACGTACCTTTTGCTATTCCACGCAGAAGATATGAATTCGTTTCACGGTTTTTTTTTTTGGGGGGGGGGTTTCAACGAAAATTTTTCGTCTGGTTTCTGGAAAGTTACATCCTTGTCAGCTCGGGTTAGATCTGACAGGCAGGATCAACGCAGCCTACCCACTAAATGATCTAACTGTCTCAATGTGGATGTAAAAACGTAACTTACAACTGTAAGTGTATAGTGAATCTGTGTATTTGAACGTTTTCCCTCGCTGTGTGATCATGTCTCTC